ATAGCGTATTAAATAATAATATATTTTACTTTTCAGTAGGTTTTTATCTCATTGGATTTTTCCTAATTAAATGTTATAAAACATATTCTCAAATAATAGACATTCAAGGAGGAGTGTTATGAATTATTATATGAGTGAATGTCCATATTCATAACTCTTCTTTATTTTTTGTAACTTACGATTTTGTAACTATTTTATTTAATTCTTATTCAAAGAGATGAGATTATTCGGTTATAGATTTAGGCCTATAAATAAGTATCTCATTTGTATTGAGGATATATGTGAAATGAAATTGAGATTCTCTCTTCCTCTCTATATTGCTTTCTTTATTTTCTCACTTACTCCTTATAAATTTATATTCATTTCATAACAATTAAAGTCTTTCTACAAGACAAATCAAATATATACCATCAAAGTAGACTATCATATAGTCTAAAAGATGATATAATGATAGATCATCAAAGTTGGTTACAATGTCTTTAATATAATTTAATTGAACAAAAAGTCCAATCAAAATTTAATTATTTATATACCAAAAAAATACATATACAAGGATAACTAAAAGACTATTCAAGCAAAAGGTTAAAAGTGCTGAGTTTGAATATTTGAAAATCAAGAAAGCATAAAAAAATTAACTAAGGACAATATTGAGAAGAACAAATGTGCATTCATTTGTGAAAGATAAAAGCACAATTCTCTTCATACTACTCATTTCATAAGTATGGCAAAAAGAAAAAAAAGGTAAAGAACAAAAATCGTTCCTAACACAAAAAGGCTTTGCACATATCAAAAATCTTATAAAAGATAAATTTGTCAAAATCTAACAAACATTTAGTTATGTCTTACGTAAATATAAATATATTTACTATAAATCAAAGACACTTCAATGTATGAAGAGACATAATATAAAATAACATTATACAATTATCTAAAATTATCTTTTTGTGAATAATTTTTTTTTAAATAGAAATGAGTATTAGCTTAAAAAGGTTAAGTGATAATACTTGAGTAGTGTTATTTGCCTAAAGAGGCAAGGTGTGTAAGAATACTTATAGTCCATGTAAGTTTGGAGAGGCTAGTGCAAAAGTTCTTAGGTTAGTGAGATTCATGTGTATAAATATTTGAGACTGAGAAATGTTTACATAAATAACTACTTGCATTCATTACCCTAAACTAATGAGTCATCTTTCTGCCACCCAAATAAAGGCAAAAAGATCATACAACTTTTATATCTACCACCTTCTAAAATCACACCATGCTTGTCGATAGATGATGAACGAAGGCAACCTTAATCTAAAACTAATGCTATTGAAGTCAACGTTCAACTATTTCTAGCAAATCATATGACTCAAATGATAGCTAAAGCATCCTCTTATGACCTTGGCCGTAAAGAAAAAAATAATAATTTGTAGATACTTCTAATTCTTCTTGTACATCCTACTCCATTCTTTTTTTTTTCCTATTCTTTTCACTCTCGACCTCTTATTATGCCTTTAAACTATTTTCCATTATTAGCTTTTTTAGCCTATCCTAAATTCACTTTTTTTTTTATATCTGGTTACCATGTTGCTTCTTTGACCAGAATATAAAAGATATGTTCGTGCTTATTCATATGTTTCTCCACCTTTTATCTTCATAACACCAAGACCTCCAACTGTCTTTCAAAGATAGACTTTAGAAGCTCAAATTACACATCTAGAACAACTCATTAGCCAATAACAAATTGTTAGTAAATATCTCACTATATAAATTTTGAAGTTGGATATTTTGTCTTTAGCAAACAATGTAACATAGTCTCACGGGGAGGGTCTTTAGTTTATCGTCTTTTTATTTTTTTTATAATGACAAGGGGGAGAATAAGAATATGTTTGTTTGCATTTTTAAAAAGAGGAAACTTTTTTTGAAAACTAAAAATACATGTAATTTTATATTTTAAAAAGAGAAAACTCTTTTTAAAAATGCAAACAAACATGTTCTAAATGTGTTTTACTTTACTACTTTGTTAGTTATTTCTATTACTTGGTTACATACATAAAATTTCTTTTGAATTTATTATATATATATGAGATAATAAGCATAAGATATTTTAGTCCTTCAAGTTTTAAAAATGTAACACTAGTCCTTGATTTTTGTCTCTATTCATTATTTGAGTTACACACTGTCAACACATTACTGGAATGTTGACATGTCATAATACCAAATGGCAACAATGATGTCGTTTTGCATTTGCACTACTTCATTCATGATAATGTCACCATTGTAGATAAAGGCTGACATAAGAGAGGGCACCACTTTATCGCTAGTAACGCCAAAGTTGTGATTTCTCATTCTATATCATATGCCCCTTTCAAAAGTCAAACAAGAGAAAGAAGAATAAAAGGAGAGGAAATGGGATATTGAATGGAAAAATGCTCAGGTTTATGAGTTTGTTTTCTAAAATGTTAAATGTTGAAATTGAGAACTTTCTTTTTATGCTTATTTGTTGTTAGTTTTGATTAGGTCTTTTGATTGATAGTTAATACTATATCTCATCAATTTCAAATATAGGAAGTGAGGTTTTTCCTCTGCTTTATATGTGACTAGTCATTGTACATGAAAATTGTTGAAAATCTTCATCTCTAACATTTTAGAAGGTTGAGAAACCATTAAGGGGTTGATATGGTCTTTTGTGTTTGCGGAATTTGAGCCACGGATGCAATAGATGAAGGATGGCTTATTGTTAAAATTATAACCTGCATCAAAGTCTTTGCTTTATGTGTTTGTGGAAATAACACACCCTTTCAGGCTCCTCTTGGGGCTTGTTTAAGCACTTCAATGATTGGGCTGGTGTTGATTTAGGTGGTGTTGGAGTGTTATTGTCAGTGGTTGTGTGGGTGCTTCCCTTGGGGGTTGTACTAAGTACTTTGACCCTTGAAGTCCCAGGAACTTCAACATCCTCACCCTTTTCTCCTTCTTCTCTCCACTTGGGCTTGGTCTCGTTAGAAGAAATTGCCTAAACTTAAGGTTTTTTTGTTCTATTAGGGTTTCTAACATTGACATGCCTAAGATCCTAATTAGTAATTACATTATCTTGGAGAGAAATTTAGAAAAGTCCTAATGAATAAAGCAAACTCCAAAGGGGATCATCAATTAGGGTCTACGATGATGATAAGAATAAAGAAGAAGAATGATAAATAGATAAAGTCATGTCTCATTATCATTAGTTAACGAGCCATGACTCCATACTTTAGTCCATGTTCGTTAGTCAAGGACCCATCTCATTATATGTTGCCATTTTTCAAAAGCCTCCAACCTCCTTGAGTGTCTTGCCTAAGTTACGCAATGCTGACCCCCTTAAATGCTTTTTTCTTGATGAACACTTCCTCTTCCTTATCTTCATAAAGTGTTTTAATGCTTTTTGAAGTATGTTAGATGTCTCTTTAGTGTCACTAGTCATTAGTTGCATGTAATCTCTTTTACTTATGATCTACTTTTTGAGTTCTTTAACTTAGTCCTTTTTCCTCTTTCCAATTTCACTCTTGATTATTAATTGTGTTCATAATATTTTGAGACAATGTTTCTTACAGATTGGTTAAAGAGATTGTGCTATAAAAGAATACTTAAGGTTAGATAGTTTGGATAAACTAGTATAAAAATATTAATTTAGATTGTAAAATATAGTATATAGTCTTAATTGATAATTGATAGTAACATTATTAATTATGATAAAGAGTTATTATTTGATTTGAGAATAAATTAGTATAAATTATTATGTGTTATGGAGAGACTATAAAAATATTTTTAAAAAAAAATAAATTTAACTCTCCTTCCTTTGTTTGTTAAGCTATTTTAATTAATTAAATGCTTGTTGATTCTACAATTTGTTAAATTTATTAAAAAGTTAAATTATAAACATCACACAAACTTATCTTAACGTATATAACAACATAATTCCATTTCTTTCGATAACAAAACTCTTTTTCAATTTTTAATTTTTATATTGTTATGTAAAATGAAAAAAAAAAGTCTATTGTCTAAATAATAATAATAATAATAATAATAATAATAATAATAATAATCGTATTAAAGATCAAGAATAGTAAAGAATATTAATGTTACTGTTACAATATTATGAGAATAATTATTTTTTTAATTATTTATTCAAAATTTTCATCATTTTGAAATTATTAAAAATATCTTTATTATTTTATACATTACATTAATTGTATCAAATTTAATTTGAATTCAAAAATTGTTTGGTATTAATTTATAAGAACATTGAATCTTATAATTTAGAAAATAAGTATTTTTATTTAAAAAATTAGATAATCATTTAGTAATATCAATTCAACTTAATCTGTAGTTTTCATTGTGATTAAATGTAATTATGTTAAATATTTAAATAAAAAAGTTTGTCACACAGAATAATCTTATCATAGTTTAAATAAAATTATTTTCAGTTTAGAAAAACACTAATATCAGTTTTTATAGATTAATTTGACTAATTTTTTTAAAATACTTTATTAAATAAAATTATTGATGTTATTTTAACTATTTAACAGGATATTATAGCAAAAATAATAATAATATTTAACAGGATACATAAATAGTTTCGTTAAATTAAACAGAAGTATTTTTCCGGGAGGACTAACATGTCTCATAAAAAAAATTACAAAATTTTTTAAATATTAAATTTGGTCTATAAATTTTTTCAAAAATTAATGAATTATTTTATTAATAACTATAATATTTAATTATATATATAATTTTATCAAATTTTAAAAGAGTCATATAACATATATTTAATTAATTATTTAATAAATTTGAATTTAATTTTGTGATATTCATGCACAAAAAATTATTAATTAAAATAAATATGAAAATATAGAATTTAAATTAATATAAAATGCATTATATAAAAATTATTTAATACGATAAAAAATTAATATTCATAAATTGTGTATATATATAGTAGTAGTTAATTATTATGATTATTGATAAGTGAGGTCGGAGTGGTGCAGGGCGTAGAATGCAATCAGAAGCGCATCGTCCGTGAGTGGAGAGTAAAAGGAGGGAATGAAGGAGAAGACTGAATCAGTGTCCACATTCATTCATTCATTGTTTAATGGTACCCTCTTCCCTCACAAAATTCAAACCCCTTTCAATGCCTTCGCCTTCGCCTTCGCCATTTACATTACATGACATGGCATAACACACACCACTCTCTCTCCCTATTTTCCACACCAAACCAAAACAAAACCTCGTAACCTCATTTCACAAGGTTAAGGTAACTCCCAGATTCACACCCAACATTTTCTTCTTGGTACTCACTCTCTTCCCTTTCCCTCTTTTTGCGTAATGGGTTGTGATTATTATGCCTCTCTCATCTTTTTATTAACTGGACATTGTCATGTCACCGGAGACCAAAATTTTGACCTTGTCATCAAATTACTTAGTTGCTTGCACAATTGGCATCAATTATTACATACAAGAGAGTCAAGGGGCTACAACTAGTTATTTTCATGAATCTTGTTCAGGAAGACACTTTTTGAAACTTGAGTGTGGGTTTTGCGACACGTTTTCATGATTTCAAAAGGGTGAGAAAAATACTGTTTTTTTTAATCATAGAAGGACCCACCACGATTGGGTATTAAGGTTCAGGGGTCCACTAGTTAATTTTGAAAAATAAAATTGGGTGTTTCTCTCTTTTAAGCAGAATCATACACTGTTCACTCAAGAATTCCATATTTACAGTCCACCTTTCTTTTTACCCCCCTATAAGGTCTCGTCCTAATCTTTGTGGAAACCTTTAACAAGTACAATGTATGTAGACGCTGACTATGTCAAATAGTTTACATTTCTTTTTGTTTGTTTGACACAAACAAGTGGAAGTGATGAGATCATAATTCCACTATGTGAAATTGATGTACTTTGTCGTGCTTTCAATTATGCTGTCTGTACCAGTGCTGTAATGCTTGCCCTAATGAAGCACTTACCATGTTTCTTGTGTAGTTAGTTATATTACTATCATGTACTCCCATTCTTAGACTCTCTCTTCTTGTGTTTTGTTGCTGCAGTAATCCATGAAATGCAATTAATAGCTTAATATTGATCAATAGAGAAGACTAGGGGACTTGTTTGCAATGTCAACTCTGAGCAATTCAACGAATATATTTTGGCAAGATTGTCAAATAGGAAGGCCTGAAAGGCAGAAGCTACTTAACCAAAAGGGATGTGTCGTATGGATTACTGGACTCAGCGGATCAGGTTCATGTTGTTAGTGTTACTGGCTTAGGGACTACATTTTTTCAATGTTGGTTCCTGATATTCAGTTCTTTTTTTGGCGTGGAAAGCATCATACTATTTCTGTGATGCTTGTGATTTTCATTGTGTTTTATTTGCTTTTTGAATTTAAGATTCTTCTTTGACTTGACTTGAGCAGTAGGTGAGTATTATCTGTCACATTGCTTGGTAATTTACCAAACATGTTTTCAGTTCCACATTCTGTTTTCATTGTAATGAAAACATGAAATAAACAAACCAAAATAACTCTTACTTTATGTCTCTGTAATCTGTTCTATTCTATCAAAGCAGATTATAATTGTTTTTGTAACTTTTGCCCACTTATATCAATTCTTCTCTTCTTCACAACGTAAACAAACTGTATCTTTAATCTAGTTGCGTGTTGATTAGTTCAGTTGTTCATCCAGCTGGACTGGTAAAATCCAATTGAAGCACGTGTATCAGCAATGGACATTTCTTAGTACTGACATCATTTGTTGGCAATTTTTCCCTGTATAGATGATAGAATATTGAAGGTATATATTATTTGACTTGTTTTAACATTATTCTGACTATGGGTATAAATTGGCTAAATTAAGTTTCAAACTATTGTGCTTGTATATTTTCTGAAAACTTCTGGAAGAAGCAAATTAGAAATTTACAGTAGAACATGAAATTTATAGCCAAACCAGAAGGACTGAAGGAAACAGAAAATACAATTTTTCACTATTTTGATTCTTGCAATCATCTTCTGCACTGATTGAAATTATTACTAGGCGCAGATGGTGTACTGCCTGTTATACCTATGGTCATTTTCTGTGTTCAATTTGACTTGTCCTGCATTGTTATACAGAGGAAGGCGGCCACAAGGCCCAATTTCTTCCCAAAATTTTACCATTAGTTCCATCTCTTATCTTTTACATCATAGTTAAGACATGCTTCGTTGTATATTTTTCTTCTGTGAATCTCTCGTGAATTATAGGTATGTATGGTACCAGTAAATAATGCATAGTCTTTGAAATTCCTTTGAGTGAGTGTGATGCTTGCAACATGCTGTATTGATTGCTTTCTGAAACTGTTCAGGAAAAAGCACATTAGCATGTTCCCTAAGCAGAGAACTGCACTCAAGGGGAAAGTTATCTTATGTCCTTGATGGAGATAACCTTCGGCATGGACTAAACAAGGATCTTGGTTTTAAACCTGAAGATCGCACTGAAAATATTCGCAGAACTGGTAAGCTTGCTCCTGTAAATAAATCCTTAAAGGAAATGGAGTAACAAGAACTTGATAATCAGTTCTAACATAATATTATATGTGCCAAGGGTGGATATCAGAGTGATATCAGTTGTCTATACTGGCATGATAAATATTTCTTGTTATTCCTTAGAACAACCTATTAATAACTGTCCATGTCTTCCTGCTATGAAAAGCTGTATAGTAGAATGACCGAATCAAAAGGATGGAAGATCTTATAAGATGTTAGTGTATTATCATGGCTTTTTTGGTGGACTGCTCTTGAGAAGTTGAAATATAGTAAGAAATATATTTTGGATCAGATTTAAGTAGATGTTTCAGTATTATAGAAGGTGTTTGCAAAAGGAAGTACAGATAATTTTTCATATAAAAGTGGAAGAATATTGCCACATCCAAAACTGATATATGTGAGATATTATGATGTTTATCTACTACATGAATCTTTTCAACATATATTGTGGAAAATTGAAATATATGTGTACATCATCAGTACATGCATTTGCTGATTCAACAGTACTTGGTTGTTGCAGTTATAAGGTTAGCTGGTGTATATGAAAAAATCTGATGCGTATGTGTTTTCCAACTTGGTTTTACTGATCAGAAAATTATTTAATTCAGGAGAAGTAGCAAAACTCTTTGCCGATGCTGGTTTAATATGTGTTGCCAGTCTGATATCTCCTTACAGAAGAGACCGAGACATCTGCCGTGCAATGTTACCTGATAAAAATTTTATTGAGGCAAGGCTTCATTAGGCATTTCTGATCATTTGTATTAGTTGATCTGCATGATTTTTGATAGTGGGATTGTATTGACAGGTCTTCATGAACATGCCTCTAGAATTGTGTGAGGCACGAGATCCAAAGGGCCTCTATAAGCTTGCCCGTGCTGGAAAAATCAAAGGTGAGCTTTTGTAATGTGTTTTACCTACAGAGGCTTCTCCCCACCCCTCGAACATAAGTACACTGAAATTGAGACATAACAAGAAAGAAAAAAATGTTGAAGGAAGCCCAATATTAAGTTTGTGCTGCATTGTTAACTGGAATAGGAATGGATGCAATACACAATAATTTATTCCAAGGAAGCATTTAAGTCCATGCTTTTTTCGTGTACCTGTACATGTTGGAGTTTTTTTGTTCATTGATCTTTGTGGTTGAGTCTTAGGTTAAACTTATTTGACTGTCCAGCAAAGTGTAATTTAGTTTGTCTAGACACATCTTTATGATTTCTTGCATGAATATGAAAAAAAGTATTGCTAAAATTCTAACTATAGTTAGTCTGATGCTAAAACAGGATTTCATATTTAATCATTTTGACTAGGAAATATGAAATTAATCATTGAAGTGAGATGAACGCCAGGGTGCTTTTATCTTAAAATAAAATTTTCATAATACGATAAGCCTATATTTCTGAAGTGTGGAAAGTTATCACCTTTATAATCAAAACTTATTTAACAATCGCTATATTTTAAATTAGACTGAAGTTATTTGGTTTTGATGTGGTGCCGTTAGGAACTCTGGTGGTATGATGACTTGTACAGTAGTACCTATTATAGTTGTTAGTCATATGAGCTGGTGTTCCATTTATGACTACAGCCGTTGGCAAATGGATGAAGTCTGAAAATGGTAGTGCTGTGCTGATAACAGGAATTTTTGTCGGACAACAAAGTTGTGGCAGTAGATTGGTATTGTAGCATATAGTTTACTAGGACTTCTCAAGGAGCCACAAATACTGACAACAAATTAACAGATGGGTGTGATTCCCGTGTAGTTTTGCTTTGATTATAACAAAGAAAGTGGAAAAACAGCTACTCCTTGATCAGTGAGTGTTATTGATATTTGCTCCTACAACTAGTGCTTGTTAATAAACTGACTTTCTTAATCTTTTAACCTTAGCTTCAGTGATTGACTTTCAGTCAATTAAGCTGTTTAATTATTTTATGCCACTAATGTGATTAAAAATTTCAAGCCCTAATAAATATTGTTGACAGAATTCACGGCTTGTAGTTGCATCTTATCTTGCATACTGTGGTTTTCTTTCTTGTGTTGTCTTCAGGAGCCCGTTTGACAACTTTCCTTTATATTGAAACATTTGTAAAACATTGCTTGGAATCACTTCTTAATTTTAACTGCTGAAACTATTTCCATATTTTGAAATTTGAATTCTACAATGTGGGCTTTTTGAACTTCCTGTGAAATTGCTCAGGTTTTACTGGCATTGATGATCCTTATGAACCACCCATAAATTGTGAGGTATGTGTTCATGTAGCTACTAGAGTTCTTCACGCATATATTTTGCCTTGCCTGATGTGTTATATACATGTACGTAGTTCAACATGATTATCTTTTGTGCAGATTGAAATAAAGCAAGAAGGTGGAGTTTGTCCAACACCCACTTTGATGGCAGGACAAGTAGTTACTTACTTGGAGGACAAAGGATTTCTTGAATGTTAGGATTTTGATAATTATATCTAATGGTTGATCATTTGTAGTGTGAGTATTCTCTAATATAATGTTTCTTTCAAATGATGTTAAAATTCTAGGAAGTGCGGGGTAGGAAAGTGGTCAGAGAATTAATGCACTTGTAAAATTCAATGATATATAATTTTTACAATTCATTCTATAGGTTGATCAAGAAGTTCAGGATATTTTTGAACGAATGATATGATTATTCTCTCTGCATTTTTTAATGTCTATTGTTCATAATTACCCTATCCACTTTGTCCTGCCTCGACTAACTTCTCCATTGCACATTTAATACACAAAAGTGTTTAAAATTGAGTAGAACTATTGAACATATTTGAGATGCGTGACTAAATTAATTTGAATAATATTTTTGTTAGAATGTGTTTTTGATTATAACTTGTGGAATTAGTTTCAATTTAACATAAACTAAATCAAACTTAATATGGTCCGGTAAAGATAGTTAAAGTCCTTTATAAGTGTTTAAATCCTAATCACCACGATATTTGTTTCGTTATGAACAGGGTAAATTTATAATCACATTAACGAAATAAACTCAGCCTGTCTAGTCCATGAAGATTTTACTGTGAACAAAATAGTCTAATTTCTGAAGGTGTTAACTGAGCATAGGATAAAAAGCCTTACCTTACGGCCGAATAGGCAATCGAGAAAAAAGTTTAAATATATTTTTAATATTTATAAATATGAGTCATTTAGATTTTTTCGTTTCGTTTTAATTTTCATAACTTTTAAAAATTGTTAAAATTATATCTATTAACACTTCGAGCATAAATAACTACGGAAGTTTTTTTTTATTAGAAATTTAATCAAGAGACTTACTCTTAAAGATAAAAATTATTCTTTGCAGAAGGAACAAAGTAACACATAAAACAATATTTTATAATTATCCTATTTAAACAATAGAGTAAGAAACGATATTAAAGATGACTTTAAGAGTGACATAGTATACATCTACATAGATTATATCGATGATTTAGATTTATAACACCTTATCAACATGTGGTGATAGAAATTATTTTTAAAAATTCTAAGTTTTATAAGAATTAACACCAAAAAACAAATTGAAAGAATAAAATAAAATTCAATTATATTTATAAGAACTAAATCATGTTTTATCACACACACATGTATATGTAAGTATGAATGAGTAAAAATTATATCAAAATAACTAAATTCTTTGCTTAAGAACCGGACCACAAAAAATGCAAAACCCTTTCTCCAAACTTTATATGGTTTTCGTATGACAATGAAACCAACCAAAGTGCCTCTGATACAAAAGCAAACAGTTGAGTAACTTTTTAAAGAAGTACTTATAAAATAAATAAATATAGCTTCCCTTACGAGTAAAATATATTAAATAAAAGTAACACAAATTTATTTTAACATGTAAAAAAATAAATCTTTTAAATTTAAATCTCTTACAAGTATTTATTAAAAAATGAATTAAGATAAGAGCACAATCGAAGACGAAAGCAATCAAAATTGCTTTGAAACGTGGAGGAAACGGCCTTGTCTGAATATAGAGTTTGACTTGGATTAGGCAACAAAGACGGATCAAGGGGAAGGACAAGGCGAAGCGAAAATCAAAAGCGGTGAAAACGACGTCGTAGATCGAGGATGGTGCTGAATAGTAGCATGGTGATGAGGGTGGCGCACGCATCGGCGCATCTTTGGCAGTACATAGCGTGCAATCCCCAAAGGTTGAGCAGCGACGCCGTTTTGCGCCTTCTCTTCTGTCTCCCTCTCCAACGCCTCATTCTCTCACTCTCCTCTTACCTTGCCTTCCATCCTCCACACTCCGATTGAAATTTCAATCTTCATTTCCCATCTTTCGCTATGTACGGTTAATCATTCCTCTATTGTACATTATTATTATTATCTATTCTATCTTCCCTCTTCTTCTGTTTGTTTGTGTTTATGTCTTTTCTTAGGTATTTTTTATGTACATTTGACACCGTTTCTGTCTGTATCACTGGGTTGATTTTGTAAATTGGAGATGGAACCAAAGTGAAATTATCTTTTAGCGAGCTCAGCAATGGAAAGTAAAGGATGAGAGACATGAAACCCTAAACTCTTCTGTTATTAAAAATAGTTTATAGGTTCAATAATTTTTTTTCGATTTTTTTTAATAATTTTTTATCATGACTTTTTAGAATAATTTTTTAAACTTATTTTAATAAATTTTATTATCAAATTTATAAAACAAATCATCACTTAAAAAAAAAACTCTTTGAACAAGTGTTTAGTGAAAATGTGTTGAATTTCCAAACGAATCCTTATGATGTGATTTGGTGCATATTTGTTTTGGAGAAGAACGAATTCTTATACTTTTAATGAACAATGCATGTTTTAATAAAATAAAGAGTTAAATCAGGACCCTTATATCTGAAGTAAAATTCCAAACTACTCCTTAGGACATTATAAGTTGAACATTTTAGTCTTTTTTTTTTATTATTATTCATTAGTTTTTTATTTTGTAGAATATTAATTATTTTAATTTTTAGTTTAAAAGTGCAGTAAAATAAAATAGAAAAACTGAAAAAAATAGTGTTTTATAAAACCAATGATTAATAAAAAAATTATAAAACATCAAGAATTAAAATGTTTAATTTATATAATTTGAAGGACCAATTTAAAAATTTGTTCTTAAATAAACTCTTCCATTTTTTTTGTTTAATGAATATAGCTGCCAGGGGAAAAAGGTAGAAAACAACAACTATTGTAGCTGCTGATATTTGGCTACAAGTATGGTTATATTAATTGATGGCTGCAAAGTTGGAAGACATTAAGCATAAGAAGCGGAGATTGATGATGAATCAGAAACTTGATAACTATAGAGGATATTTTTGTATTCATAAGATGATGCCTACCAGTCCTTGCCAGTGTTTCAGCTCTTCACTACTGTGTTCCCATTTTGAACCACCAAAAACAAAAGTTGGTTGTGTACTCAATAATCATGGGTAGGGTAGGGAAGGTTTGCGTGTCAAGTTTGAATTCTCATGCTTATACTTTTTATTGTCGTCACATCAATTTTTTTAGAACAGTGCATTATTACTGAGCGAAATCATACAAACCATGTCACAGTTTTATTAAAAGTCGTCTAATATTTTTAATGATCTATGTAAAAACTTGACCAACTTGATTGGTTCAACTGGTGAACTGATTAGGTAATTGGTGAATAATTCATCGAATTGTCGAAAATTCTATTGCATTTTCAATCATCTGTACATAAGAACTTGATTGAACCGATTGGTTCAATTGGTAAATTGACTGGGTAATCAGTTGGAGTAGCTAATCAAACCTGTTGGGCTATGAATCGACGTAAATTGGCCTTAAGTAAGGTTAAATCAGTGGAAATTGATGCAATTTTAGTGGTGGGACTGATTTTAAAAAAGTTTAATATAATAAATGTCGTTGGCTACTTAAAGTTATAGCAACCATTATGCTACATTTATTATTACATTTTCACTCGACCTCTTGCGTGTGTATGTATATATTCGTTTTGACAAGTAATTCAATATCTCAGCCAAGTTAACAATCGGAGTGAGTTTAATAATATTACATCAATGTATCTTTTCTGGGGTTTAATAATATGTATCTTTTTCGGTAATGTTGGTTATTAGAGAAATATAATTAAAAAATTAGAGTAATTGTTGAATAGAATAAAATAGTATGAAATTAATAAAATTTTCACTTTTACTAATTTAAGAATAAAAAATCATTGTTGAATATATGCTTGGTTCAAGTATATATTAATAATATTTCAAAAAAATGTATTTTTGAACACTCCCTGAAGTATCTTATTAAAAAACAATTATCTTTTCGGAAATAATTCATTTACAAAATTTCTTATTTAGATAATATTTAATCTTAGTAATTTGAAAATATGTTATGCCAATCTTTATTGTCACAGAATCTGAAGTTCAAAGATGGAAGTAGAAACTTGGACTAATAGTACTCGAGGAAACTTGAATTTGTAAGCTGTTATGACGTGTGTTTATGAACGTAAAATTAACGCAAAAGTTAGAACTAATAATATATATATGCATTCTTCTACTGTGAAGCTAAATTGTGCCCGTGTCCTGTTACAGTGTCTTAATATAACAATAAGAAAACCTTATTTCATTTGATAGATACATGAATCAATGAATCAAACGATATTGCTAATTTTGTGAAAAACAAAATTCTTAAAATTAAGAATACCTCCATTAGAGACCATTTTTTGTAAGTTGAACCTTCCGATTCATCGCCGTAGAATGTTATCAACGATGGATGACGGCTCATAGCAAAAACTTAAAAAATTGTTATAAAGTTATAGTGGTTGTCGTGACAGATTATGGTAGATTTATCTTCAATTTCTTTTGACATCTCTTCATCTTCTAATTCTTCATCATAATCTTTAAGAATCATTTTATCATTTCTTTTTGTTGTTAAACATATTTTGATCTTAGAAACTTTTACAGTTTTGATAGTGATTCCACTTGATGGACTCTTTCTTTTCTTAGAATGATACCTAGTGTATGTTACAGGTTCTCCAATTCTAGAAACTTCATAAACAATTATCCAATTTAAAGTGTTATCACCATAAAAAACTAAGTCATTTTCAGCATTACCATCCATTTCTCCAACCAATCACTCATTACACTCGTCAATATCATTGAGTGTAATTAGATCAATTACATCTTTAAGATTGTAATGTTCTTTGAGTTGTTGGTTATATTTTACATAAATCAAGTCATGTAATTTTCCTAGTCCTCTTCTTTGAATGAATTTGCAACGTGAGTTTAATTAAAAAAATATTAATTAGTTTTTTTTCTAATTTCTAAGAAAAAGTAATAGACTTAAGAAATAAGAAATTATTTCCTCAAAAACACTCCAGTTGCATTCACATTCGGATGCACTACATGTCAAGCTCAAAATTTTGATAGCTAGTTGCTGCAGATGTGGAGCTAAATGTCTATATATTCTCCACTATTAAGCTATAAAATGAAAGATAAATTATGACTTTAAAGATGAATTATAACCTGAAAATTAAAATGTTGAAGATTTTGATGAATTACCAAAAGTAATACTTTTCTTTGTGATTTTGCAAAGTCGGACCCAAAGGGACCACCGCCACTCTTATAAATTGGTGATTCAAGTAGTATGTTTTGTTGCACATCCCGACTTGGCACCAACCTCTTGATACAATCATACAACCCATTTGTACCTTCCAAATCAAATTCTATTTGAGGGTTGTCATAATATAACTTTAAGTTCAAAATGTGACCAGCTGCATGTAATAGACGGTGAAGCTGACAAGTCCATCTATTATCGATGATTGCAAACACATCTTTGTATTTGCTTTTATTATTTTTGAATGACTTCATAATAGCTTCTTTACCTTTCTCCATTGCTTCATAAATATATCTCATGGCTGGTCTTCTTTCCCCATCAACCAAATGTAATACCCGAACAAGAGTAGTCATGATTTTCAAAGTATATACCACATTATTCCAAAATACAGGATTTAATAGAATTTTTGTTTCTTGCTTCTCTTTAACTTCCTTTGACAACTTGTTTTTACACCACTCTTCAGAAGTAAACATCTTTCTAAGATTTGCTTTTTCTTGATGAAGCTTTTCTAATGATAGAAAAGAAGTTGCAAATCTAGTAACTGCATCTTGTTTGTAAAATTTCTCAACAAAGTCAAGGTACTTGAATGACTGTAGATAAAGCCAACAATAGAATATTTCCCTTTGAATTGTCTCCTTTATCAAGAGAAGCTTTCTAATATCTTCAAGCATAAGATCTGTGTAATGAGCTGCACAAGGAGTCCAATAAAGATGTTATCTTTTTGCTTTCAACATCTTACCAGCCAAAATATAATTGTTCCCATTATTCGTTATGACTTGCACAACTTTATCTTCTCCAATCTCCTCCATAAGAGTATCAAGCATCTCAAATAAATTTTTATCATTCTTCACAAAATTAGATCTATCAATGGACCTCATAAACATAGTCCCAGCAGGAGAGTTGACCAAGAAATTAATCAAACATCTTTACTTTCGATTAGTCCATGCATCTGATATGATAGAACAATCATGTTTGCTCTATTGCTCCTTATGATCTTTCATCAAAGAATCAATATATTCTAACTCTTTCTTAAAAAAGTGAAACTCATATATCATGATATAACTTGGAGCCAGTAAATTTAGACCAAAGGCACTAACAGCTGTAAGCAATTCTTGAAAGCTCTTCAGTTTAACAAGGTTAAAGGAAAGGCTAGCTTGATACCAAAATCAAGCTATGCATTGATGGATCCTTGCCTTGACTTCTTTGTCACATTGTTTTCTTATATTTGTTTGTCTCAATTTTTACTTTTTTCTTTTTCTCAATGTCACTTTCTGGCTTTCTAACAAACAAGTCCATTGGCCCTTTCTAATTTCCAATGACAACGCTACGGGTTTGTGTGACGCCTAAAAATAGAGAGATTTTTTTTTTAAACAGGAGAAGCGGAAAGATAAACACATTCTTTGAACTCACATCTAGCATATCATATTTCTGCTTAAAGGTTTATGGCCTTAAAATATAATAACAAAACCAAAGTAGAACAACAACAATACTCCATCATAACTGAATAACTTCATGCAATAGATAGGGAAATAGTTAGTAACAATCTCAGAGTACTACAACCTGATAAGGTAAAATGACATAATTAAAGTGCATAAAATTAACATAGTTCAGAGATACATGGAATGAAACAGACTGACTCCCTAAGAGCAGTTCCCTAAGAAACAACAACAGACAAACTATCCCAATCAGTCGAGAGGAGAATAATCCTCCATAGGATCAGACTCCTCAGAAGAGGTGGGGGAAAGGTATAGGTGCGAGCAAAGGTCTAGCACTGGGGCTACGAGGGTCAACACAAGTGGGTGAGAGTGAGGCGGATAGAGCGGGATAAGGTAGCTGTGTGTCTCCAGGAGGAATAGAGAAAACAATCTCAATAGGACCTTCAGTCACGTACTCAGTAATCCATGAACCTCCACTATATCGTCCCTGAAGGGTGTAGGCACGACCACGGAAAATGCTCTGCTGGGCCGCGGTGTCGAACACCCACATGTCTTCCTCAGAGGGAAGGACCAGTACTCTCGTCCCGTTCCTGGCCATCTATAATGCATGGAAAGTAAAACAGAGACAATACAGCCAAGGGGTGAGTTCTCCAAACACGATTTAACATATAGTTGCCATACCCCAAGGAAGGTGGCGTTTCAGACACAAGCATATCAATTACTACAAGGCATAACAATTAATACATTCCACCATCATCATGAGATATACATAGAATATGGTAACAATCATTAGCATGCAAGAGCAATTTCACAGTAAAAAACAATCCACTGCCTACTAATGATGCTCATGATGCATGGATGCAATCCCTACCCTCATCATACATCTCTAAAATTTCTTTTTTCTATGCACATGGTATGCATGGGGATCCCTTACTCTACTGCTAGCGACTTGCCCAGCTTTTAGTGTAGAGTTAACAATTTCATATCCAAGTCGTGTGGCGATCAGAGGACTCCATTCCCTGCATCACAATTTGCACAGAAAACATTTATTTCATTATTCCAAAAACACCCAAAACTGGTGCTGGCCCCAAACTGGGTCTCTTCGGGAGTGGACCTCAACGACCCTAGGATGTGGAGTTCTTGTCGGGCTTGGCTAAGGCTTGCAAGTAAGGTCATGACCCGGCCACAGAGAGCTCTACTGCGCCATCTAGGTCGACCGTTCCCCCTTTTGCCACCCCCGTAGGTCTACTCGGGACCGAACCTCCAATACCTACAGCTGTGCCTCTGTTGTGCCATCAAGTCGTTCAAGAAAATGATATAATGCATGAAACATTTTTTTATGTTCACAGTTCCCATAAGCAGACAAGGCACATTCCATCATCTTATAATCTTTACCATCCAAGTTTCATGAAGTCACACCATCCAAGCACAAGTTTTACCATCCTTCATCGTTAAAAACTAAAGGTGATTACAGTTTAAAGCCATGTCAATCACATTTTTCCAGCACTTATACATAACCATATTCAGAACTTTCCTAACTTCAAAGCTTGGCCAAATTAAAACATACACTTTTTTTTCTCACGAGGTCAATCACTCAAACTCACAAGCAACAACAATCATTCAACCAATTAAATTCAGCATGGGTTCAATCAATTAATTCAAGGTAAAATGCTTCCAATCTCTTTGGTTATACCTAGATAAAACAAGACATCAAGGCGCGAAAACACTAATCTTTTCCCTAAGAGTTAAATCTGTCCAGCACTCACGTTTATTATTTTACTTAAGTTTTCTAACATACTAAAGTAGGAAAATCAACATACAAAGACTCTAACTCATTGTCCAAGTTTCATGATTTTATTTTATAAGAAATCAAGCTTTTAGGGACACAAGACCGAGGCGTATACAAGGGTTCTCCTTTCAAAAATTCGGTTGTTAAACACTTTAGTTTACACATTCGTCAAGGTTCAATCCAAGCATGACATCTCCAAATAATTTGCATCACTTATTGTCAAAACCGAAAATCATTCAAGTTTATTGGTCCTTTCTTTTTACAAGGTTAATGTCCATGGTGCATTCTCATGCTCCCAATTTATTTTAAAGTTCTAAAATACGAAATCCTTGCCTTTTTCCTCAAAATGTTCAAAACTGTCCAACCTTATGAACCTCCTTATTACTTCCTTCTTTTTCAATCATCACACCACTAAATCAGGGGAAATTTTTGTGCAAAAACAAGGTTTCATCATCTAAGTGCAGTACATCAAATTTCCTAAGGGATGTCCAAACTTTCAAGAGTGAAACCGAAATACACAGGGCTGAAATTAACATGCAATGATGCAAAATTAACGTGTAAATCTGTGGTTTCTTGATTCCAAGGGTCAATCAATATTTGAACAAGAGATCAAGTCAAAAGGTATACAAATCCGAGACATGCAAATGGAAAGAAACCACACGCACACATCAATGGTTCAGACTTTTAAGAGTGAATTCGTTAAGAGAAAGGTTCACATGTTTTTTTTTGAGAACTTAGCATGCAAATTTAGATTTGGGGTATATTCAACATGCAGTCCAATGTATAAACATGCACACTTCAAAGTCTCAACCTTTTTGTGAATCAAGTTGATTAAGAAAAAGTCCACTCTTTTTTTTTTCTTTTTTCTTTAGGGGCTGGCCGAGACATGTAAATGGGAAGATAACACACTCTTTGAAGGGATTCAACATGCAAAATCAGATTCAAGTCACTTCCACATGCAGTCCAAAATACAAGAGTTTATCAAGGAAAAACAAGCAAGAACATCAAATTGCAACATGCAAAATCAAGCAAGGTGAGAACTCCCCCTTGCCTTTGATTTTTGGACGTGAGATTGAAGAGAGAAGGGCTGGAAATGGTTGATCTTCAAGGGAAGCTTGCTGGACCAAAAAAACAGTGGCAAGATTCTTCAAGTTCTCCCTCTAAAGTGGGTTCCTTCAACACGAAAATTAGAAAGAAAGGTGGAGGAAGGTGCTATGGTGTTCGGCTCCCCCAAATCAAGGAAGTAAAGATGAGAAATGGCTTACCTTTTGGTGTTGTGGTCTCGGTTTGAAGAAAGCAAGCAAGGAACACGGTGAGTGCTTGGAGTCTCTCGGTTTTGGCCTTGAAAAGTTGAGAGAATGTGAGATTTTTGGGGAGGGGAGGTCTCAGTTTGAAGAGATGATGGAGAGAATGAGAAAGTGGAAGGGTTTCAAGAGAGAGTGTGAGATAGTTTCTTGGTTTGGTGCAGCAAAAATGCAAATTCAGACCAAGTGTCCCCTTTTGCATGAAAGGTGAAAATGAAATGGCCAAGGGAATGGATTCACGGCCCTAGGCTCCTTGGATAAGGTTCTAAGGCTTCCAATTTTGCAATTGGCCAATTGAAGTAAAAGGATTGTTGCATGAAAAGGGGCTCACGGTTTTTTTTTTTTTTTCTGTGCACGAATAGTGAATTTTAGAAAGGCTTGCAAGTAACACTTAGTGTATTTTGATAAGCAAGCTGCATGGAATGGTCTAGGCTGCATGCACACGGTTTTTGGTGAGGCAAGTTCCAAGAATCGGCACAAAGTATCAAGGCTTAAAGCTTTGGACAGCATGCATGCAAAATAATTGGCCAACGAGGAATTTGACGCGACTTGGTTGACATTTGAAAGGACATTTGACATGGTGGCAATTTCAAGGAAATCATGTTGGAATTTGTAAGACAAGACAAGAAAGTTCCGAAGTGACTTGGTCTACGAATCAGGGAACAAGATCCATTGCATGCAATCTTAGTGGCCAAACTAGATTTTTGGGATCTTCAAGGGAATGATTACTAGATCTCGTGAAATTTTGTGCAAAATTATGACGGCTAAGTAATCATTGAAAATCCATAGTAATGATTACCAAATCTCACGCTTTTCGAAAAAGATAATTATGATAAATATATTTATTAATTAATTATTATTATTATTATTATTTTTAATAATTCAAATAGAACGAAAATATACTTTCTGGACAGAATTATCAGTGGACACTTTAGACAGTACTGCAGAGTAAATTAGTCCTGGATGATCCTGAAACTAAGTATTGCACGCAATTTTCCCTAAAATTCCAACTCTAAAATAAATCACTATTCTAAAAATTTTAATTTCCATCTACTCCTTTTGATACTAGAAAGTCAGAGACAGCGAGAAGTTCTAATCCAAGAGTTGCTAATTAATTCGTGAAATTTGGGGCGTTACAGTTTAGGTATCTTCTTCATTCTCACTTTCATCATAACTTATACCTTCAAAGTTTATCACATTTGGCATCTCAAAATTATTTTGACTCTTTTTTTCTTTTTGATATGTCTCAATCTCTTTTCTAACTTCTTTTAGACACTTGAGACAAGCTTTCACGTTATCCTTCTTTCCAATTAAATGTTTCATTCTAGTGATTCCAGCACTCATAACTTTTCTACAAAAGTTATATACAATATTGTTTGTATCTCCATCTTTCACCGAATAAGCATATTTCCATCCCGGGTCAGAACGATTAGAAGCTCTTGAACAATTTGATGAAGATTTATGTTGAGCCATGTTAAAGGTAGCTGAAATAAATAGATTTTTTTTTATAGGAAAATCAAAGAAAAAATAGAGATGTGGGAGAGGTAGAAATTAAAAGATGGAAAGGGTAAAACTTAAAAGAGGGAAATTAAGAAAAAATTAAAAAAATAGCTACTAGAAAAAATGGAGTCGTTGGAGATGGAGGTGTAGTCGTCAGAAATGTAGGTTAGAGTTGCCAGAGATACAGGTGCAGTCATTGAAAATGAAGACGAACTGCACCACAACAAAAACCTAAGGAGCCCGAAACAAAGAGATATCTTAGCAGAGAGCAGAGAGAGAAGTCACAGAGAGCCGAAAGAGATCACAGAGAGAGAGAGAGATCATAAGGAGAAGAGAGGGAAAAACCTAGACTTTAGGGTTGGGTATTTGGACTGGATCGAGTCTGGCCCAAAACTGCAAAAAAACTCATTTTTTAACAAAAAATGTCATAACGACTACCATGGCAGAAATGACATAATATGACTTTTTTTTGCGCTACCATACAATTCTGCCACACCACAACGAAATTTTAACGACCGTGTCACCATAGCCACCGACATTGAGCTATACATAACATGAACATATGACATTGTATAGTGGTACAACATGAGACTTTTCATCCACACATAAATGGTGTCCTATAGCAGAATGAAAAAATTGAGTGAAATTTGTTTTAAAAAATCATTATAAGAGATTTTATGGTAAATAATATAATTATAAAAAATTACAAGTGTTTTAAAATCTACACATCTTTAAAGGTTTTGAATAAGTCCAATAAAATATTATCTAATATTAAGAGAGAGTATGAATTATAATATTTTAGACAATTTTAAAATTACGACTCACTTGTTTATATTTTAGATAATTTTAGAGTTATGATTCACTTGTATATGTACCTTTTAAGTTGTCTATAATTCCTCTCGAAGTTTAACTAATTTAAGTTTAAAGACTTGTATTTTTATAATTATTTTTAGCATAAGCTTGTATTTAAAGTTCAATTTTCACTGTATGAGTTTGTGCTTCTTATAATTTTTTTAATGCTACAATTTTTTTTATTTTTTGGATTAAAATTTTGATTTCGTATTAAAATTTTAAATATGATTAATAATATTTTTGATAATTTAATTTTTAATTAAGTTCAATGATATCTATAATTGACGAAGTTGACTATATCTAGTGTGATAAAGTTTTACTTTTATTATTGTACTATTATGAGTTTGAAAACAATACTTGTAGAGATATTTAATATTTATTACACTTTTGAGTCTTTAATCTAATAAATATTTTTTAATAAAATAATTTATTATATTTAAATATTTAACTCAACTATAAAAAATCTGACTAACCAAGCTTTTTAAGTTTTAAAAAAATCCTTATTTTAAAGTGAAGGAAAATCAACATTAACAAAATTTTGAAAAGATTTTAAAATAATTATTTAATTATCTTAAGACTTCAATTCTAATTATCCTGTTGCAAGTGTAAAATATCTAGGTATAATAGTAAATTTTTTTTACTATAATTGTCATATGATATTTTAATTTACTTCTTCATTCATTTTGCTTTTATTAATAATATAAATATTTTTTAAATAAAATATGTTACCTTACTTAAGATATAAAATATATCAAGTCTTTTGTCACTTAGATAATTTTTATTGGTAAAAATAATAAAATTTTTATTACATGTACTAACTCCCGAAATATAAAAAAATATACACTATTTTATACTTTTTAACTTAAATACATTTTTTTTTAAAATTAACTTTTATTAAAATGTTCCTAATTTTTTTTTGTAAACATACTTCCTCTTTTTTTTTACGTTCAAAATTTTGTATACAAATTAATATAATGATTGATAAATTAATTTTATAAATTTTATCACTTATTATTTTTATTATACCTTTTTAAATATAATAATTTTTTTAATTTGTTTAATAAAAATATTGTAACTAAATTATATAAATCAAGAAAAGTGGTTGAAATAGTTAATATTTTATTTTTGAAAATTTAATTACAATATTTAAAATATACCCCTAAGTAAAGTTAAACTTTATTATTAAAGAAAATAAAGTATCGATTTATTTTATAATAACATATTCATATTTAAATCTAAAAAATAAATATATTGATTCAATAATGTCTAATTAATAAAATTAAATATATAATTTAAGAATCTAATAATACTATAACAACTAAAAAAATTAATTTTATTACATCGTATTAAAATGTTAGAAATGTTTTTTAATGAATAAAAAATATTAAAAAATTAATAAAATATTCCCAAAATTTTAGAAGAAATCTTATATCAAATACAAATAAAATCTCTAATCTTTTTTATAAAAAGGAGGAAAAGAAATTATCATTATTTTATTTTATTTATTATTTTTATTAAATAAAGATTAATTATTGAAGGTATAAAAATAATTATTTTATTAAATTTGTAACATAAGAATAATAAACGAAGAAAGTAAAGCTATTGAAGTGTAAAGAATAGAGGAAGTACAATTTGGAAAAGATTTGTTTGGACTTGGGAGACTCCTCACCATGCAATTCACTATTTCCTTAGAAGAAAGGGAGAATTTGGTGCAGTTGTAGTGTTGTTAGAGAGAGTGACACACAAACGCGCGCAAGATGAAGAGTATGGTGATGCCATTGACAAGGGTCTCCCTTTTTTGTCGCCCAAATGGCCATAAAACCCTTTCCTTCCCTCTCACACGCAACCCTTCCTCGCCCTCTCTCTCCCCTCTCTCTCTCACCCTTTCCATGGCCACCTCGCCCCAATCCTCCGCTCCGGTACCTCTCTCTCTCGCACACGTTTTCTTCCACCCATTTCCACAATAATTTGCTTGCTCGCTTCAAAATTTTAACTTTGCATAACATGATTCCAATTTTTATTTTTATTTTTTTTTTGCTTCTTTTATTGGGTGATTCGAAACTCTGAACTGCTTAATAGTTGAAAGTCTGTGTTTTTCAATGACGATGACCACAGCTCATGAATAATAATAATAATAATTTTGTGCTTTTGCTGTTTCTGAATCAGACTGTGTCCCCTAGTGATGCTAACATCAACAAAGATGATGTCTTTCAATTAATTCAGGCACATCAGGTATTTTATCTGTTAGTTATCAGTTCAATATGTTATGAGTGGACTTCAAAGTAGTTGAAATTTAATGTTTATTTTTGTGTTTGTACTTCCAGGAAGATTGGTTGTGTTTTAATTTATTGGGGTTGTTTTGTTATGATAGGAAAATGCTGCTAGACTTACACCAGTTGAGGAAATTCGAACTTTTCTTGATCGTAGCGTACGAGGGATGCTCTCTACATTCTCTAAGGTTTCTATACTTTCCTTACAATGACTTATAAACTGATAGTTTTTTCCTCTGGTGAGAAATCGGTGATTATTTCTCAGTGTAATTTATGAGAATCAAAGAGTTAATTTAGGTATCTTTTCAGATGTTGAAATGAACAGCAATCATCCTTTTCTTCTAAAAAAAAGTGTTGTGTGATTTATATAGGTCTGGGCTGGCACAATATCAATTTATATATAGCTTTAACTGGACACATTGCTGAAAGCATATTTGAGCAATATGACTTACAAAAGAATGGAGAGAGAGAGTTTTGCCTCTTTGGAAGTTTGGTTGTGACCTTTCATTCACACCACAGTATTCAGGTTTTTCTTGTACTAAAAGACAAAGGGAACTATAAACACCCTTCCCACCAAAGTAACAATCCCACCAAAGTAACAATGACAAACACAACAACAATAATAAAATGATTAAATTCCATGTTTGGTAGAGCAATGATATTGAAATCTGACTGCCTTTTGGTGTTCATATATTCGGAATTTGTTTTACTATTTATTAGCAGACAACTTGAATACCCTCTTTTCATCTGTTTTTATTTTTAATGTGCAGAAGCTTGAGGGTTATCCATCAGGGTCTATGGCTGACTTTGCATGTGATGCAAATGGATATCCTATATTAGCAGTGAGCGACCTGGCAGTTCATACAAAGGTTTATCTTTTTTCTTTTCATTCCCCAAATTTTCCTATTGTTAAAATATGATAATGTAAATAAGTTAAAGATTAAACTTGTTTGGGCTTGTGAACTGAACTGACTTCATAAGAAATATGAGATTTGATGTTTGAGGTATAGTGAACTGGCTTATATATATAATTATCCAGTACATTTTGCTGAATTTGGCTTGCAACAATATCACAATTTCAATTTCAAATCCTATGCTTTATTGCCTCAACCAGAACATGGCCTTGTTAACAATTATAATTCATGAGAACACCTTTCGTGTCCGACACCTACCCAATTAAAAGCTTGCTTCCATTGCTAAAGAGTCTTTTTCTTGCAGGATTTAACTGCCAATCCTAAATGCTCATTGCTTGTGGCTAGAGATCCTGAAGATAGGACTGATTTAGTGATTACTTTACATGGTGATGCTATCACTGTAAGTTATTATCTTCTGTTTATTTCCCAGTTAAACATTGTTTCTTTCTGTGGTTTCATTTCCTATTCCTTTTACTATTGTGTATTGGATTACATAACTATTATATTACAGAATCATTATATGAAGGTTTAAAAGTTTGAATTCATTCTTGAATTTTTTTTTCAGGTACCAGAAAATGATAAAGAAGCCACTCGAGCTGCATATTTGGAAAGACATCCCAATGCATTTTGGGTAACTTGGTTTATCATTGTTCTCTATAGCTCACATTTTCCTTATGCTTATTGTTGTATAATTAGAAACTGTGAAAAAAATTCAAATATTGAAGGTTGACTTTGGAGACTTCCGATTCATGCGCATTGAACCAAAAGTTGTACGATTTGTGTCAGGTGTTGCCACAGCTTTGTTAGGATCAGGAGGTTTGTTAACCATGCCATTCTTGTAGGTTAATTTTGTTGTTAATACTGTTGTGCAAGGTTCCTCTAGTTATCTTTGGATGGAGTTTGGAGGGGAAGGGAAGGGAAGGGAGGGTTAACTTTTCATTTAAGTAATCACTTTGCTTATTTGATTTATTTATTTTTTTGAATGAGAGGAATAAAATAAAATATTATCATGTAAACTTCTTGTCATCCTGATAAGATCCAGAAAGTAGTATTTTAGAATAATAAATAGTAGTTAATTTTTAGAATAATAGTTAATAGTTAATTATATGTAATAGGTATGCTGAGCAGTTAAAATGTTTGGTGTAGGTAGTTAGTTTAAACTGGAGGATAGGGTAGAAGAGGGGAATGGGTGAAGGATTATTTATTTATGGTTGAAACCTTGAAGGTTAGGGTGATTTGCATACAAATGGAGAGCTTTTAGGGTTAGATTTGTGGATGTTTGGATGGCATGAAATTGGCAGAAAGCACTTATATGATGACCTTGTCTCTGAAATGAACAAGTAAGGGTGTGTTCGTTCTTGATTTAATTTAAAATGTATTGTGATCTTAACCAACAAAAATTTAGGAGTGGATTCATCCATACTCTCACTTTAGAGACAAACTCTTTTAGAGGATTTATTTTATTCTCTTTGTTACTTATGGGCTTCTTGACTAATTAAGAAACACTTAAGCATCAAAGTTACCACACCCCTAAAGTGATACCAAAGCATCATGACTCCTAGTAAATATTTTGAAGTATACAAGCCCAATATCAAAACTAAAACAAGGTACTAAGTTCATTTTATTTTTAGAGTTAGAATCCGTTGACACTAAGTATTAAACTTAAATACTTACACCTCTTAATACATTTTCATAGAATGTAAGATTGACCAGTTCAGTTGTTGAATTATTTTATATTATCTTCATGATCATATATATCAAATTTCACACAATTTAAACATTTGTAGGTATGTTATCTTAAATTCGATATTTACTTGTATTTTAAAAACATAATACCTGTAATGAATTATTTATTAATTTTGATTTTATATGAAATTTTATAAAGTTGATTTATTTGATAAAAACTTTAAACTAACGGTTGGATTAATCAATCTTACATTTTATAAAAAGTTATTAAGTAGTGTAAATGTTAAAGTTTGAAACCTGATGTCAACGGATCCTGTCTCTTAATTCTAAGTTGAGTATTTCTTGATGATAGCGCATTCTGCTTTATGTGGGATGATCAAAACTGTCTTCCAAGTAAATGCTTTGATTAGAAACTATACGGGTTTTAGGATAGCTTGCATTGCAAAGAATATGTGATGTATCATTGCATTTTGGGGTGAAAATTTTATCTTTAATATCTACTTAATTGTTATTGATCATTATGGCTGGCCATCACAATTAGAGGCTTTAGCAATGAACAAATATCATCTCTGGACCACCAGTGAATTTCTTGTGTTTTCTATCCTTTACAGTATAATATTATTGGTTATCTTTTAACTTCGATTGCAGAGTTTAGTGGGGACGAGTATAAATCTGCAAAAGTTGATCCTGTAGCTAAGTTTTCCAAGCCAGTGGCGGTAGTGCTTTCTAAGTGACCCATTTTGACACATCTAAAATGGCTTTCAGAAAACAGAAGTCAGACATTTTTTATTCTAATATAAATTGTGTTATTTGACAGTCTCATATGAACAAAGATCATGCTGAAGATACAAAAGTGATTGTGCAGCATTGGACATCAGTTCCAGTATGTCATCTTGACTGTATATAAAATTTCAGCATAGAACAGGCCAGGCTATTTTATTCAATTGTTAATATCATGTCAAATTCCCGGTGTGCAATATAATATCTAAGTGTATGAGAGTAATATTGAGTGGGGCATCAACTAGACAGGCATAAGACTAGAAGGATTACTTTCTGATTGTCATGTATTCACCAATTTTTTATTAAATGTTTATGCCATCAATGCTAGAGCTTTAGGGCACTGGAAAGGTCAATAACAAAATAATATGTTCTGGCTTCTTTTCTGAGGGATGAGGGGATGATGTTCGACCATAGTTTAACTGAATTGTTCATCATCTGCAGGTGGACTTTGCATACATACTGGATTTGGATAGTCTTGGTTTCAACGTTAAGGTATTGCCACTGTTATTTTTTTTATATCATTTATGTGCCCATTCCTTTAGCACTGTTTTCTTTAATTTGAAATGTTAAAAAATCATCTATAAATTTGACAAATGAAATCTTTATTAAGTTGGTCCTTTCAAGTTTCAATAGTCTTTTATCCTCATCTGCAGCTTTTTAATTTATTTTTTTTGAGTTTGCAATATCTACTTTCTTTATTAGAGGAATTATACATCTTTTTGTAGGCTGGTTATCAGGGTGATACTTTCAAGCTTCGAGTCCCTTTCCCACGACGTGCAGAAGATAGAAAGTAAGACATCATATTTTACATAAACTCCCATCTCCTGCTGAAAAGGACATATCTACATTCATTAGATGAAATATGCTCCTGTTTTCCAGTTTACTTTTGCAACCCGTGCTTTTGTGTGAACATCTATGAAAATGGTATTAGTATATGCTTGACTGTTCAATTGATTAAATTTGATGCTGTTAAATTATCAGATAACAACCTCCCCTGTTTTCACTTTTCTTTCTACTATCATCCTCTTAGGATGGGATTAATCGTGTCCATGCAAAGGACTCCTTGCTGATTAAGTTATAAGTAGGTTGTAGGGTTCTTATTGCCATGGCCATATGGGTTTCTGATAAGGAATTAGGCAAAATAACCTATCTTGAAGCATTTTGGTTGGTTTTCTTTTCTGCAGAGAAGTGATTCCTTTACTGTTCTTTCAGGGATGTTAAGACTCTCATTGTTGAGATGCTTCAAGCTGCTAGGCCACATAGTTGATTGATTACACCACAGGTCAATGATGAACAGGTGCTCATCCAAAATTCATCTAATCCTTCAATTCATTTGCTTTGGTCTCCCAAGATTGTTATCTTCATTTGGAGATTAGTTGGCCATGCCTTGCAACTAGATATACCACATAATTATTAACTCTTTATTCCAAGTACTTGCATATGTATTGCTTAATTTTGTTTTTCTGCTACTTTTAGACCAACTTACAAATCATATCTTTAGTAACCCTTAATTTGAGTTTCCTGGTTTGATAGTAAAAAAGGAACCATCGCAGTCTTGAATTGCAATAAAGCTTGCAAAATGTCAAAAGGTGGTGAAGGAGACACTTGAAAGATGGGATAGTGTGAGAGGTTCTTTCTGTTCTCATCCCTTTCTGTTTGAAATGGTGCAGCACCCACCGGTCATCCTTCAGGAGAGAGGACAAAATATATGCGTTGAAAAGTAGACGAGTAAATGTATTTCTATATTCAAAAGATAAAATGACAAAGCAAATGGTTGACTTTGTTTACTTCTTCTCTTATACGCTATTTGTGAATTTTCATGGGCAAAAACACTTGAAAATTCAGACATACAAGTGATGTAATAGTCTCTCAAAGATACAACAAGCCCATTGTACATATATGATTATGTGAACTTCCTCCAGGTGTACACTTGTTGAGAGTTGAGACAATATATGAATAACCCTTTTGAGAAACAATAATAATAATTATTTTTTGGCTATATACAACAGTAACTTATACATATACACAAGCATTCTTTGAATTTGTGAGCACGTACTTGATCTATCACAAGTTCAAAGAAAAAGAACAGTTAAGATACTACATTTGCCTTGTGAGAGAAAGTACAGCAATGTCACATCTGTTTGTTTGCTTTGATGGTTTGTATTCTTTGACATCATGGGTACACTGTGCCAAGTTAGAGGCTATTGCTGAGAGAATATCATGTCAACCAAATTTTGCTAAATGACCAAAGGACTTAGCCCACGCCATGCCCTCTTTTTAGATATAGGTGCTTCTGTTGCTTTAAAAAGAAAGCACTATTAGGGAGGTAGAGTTACTAGGCCTAACGGTTTCTTACACTTGAACATGTTATCATGGCATAAAATTTCTAAATCCTAAGATAGGTGGTGTAGCCAATTTTAATCCCAACAAGTTATAAAGAACTTATCTAAAGTTTTGTCGTTTCAGAAAATATATCAGATACTAAGTCTTATTTATTTGATTTATTATGTGAAAAAAAAAACTGTTTTTACTCCAAGTTTCTACTAAATTATCTATTTAGTAAAATAATAACATTAATGAAATTTAGTGCAAAACAATCTATTCAAATAAATACACGCTTTTATGATGAAATCTGTTTAAGTACTAGCTAGGAATTAACTTAAACGAGAGATATTAGAAAAGGAGAGAGTTGCTGATTGTTGAGCACGACGAAGGCACAGCGCGTTGCAACACTTTTTTTTTTTTGTATAATAATATCCTTTCTAAAAGCTAGAAAATGGAAAATGGTACCTTCAAAGGGGCAAACATGCACGTTTGTATAGCTGTCTTCGGTGTTAACAAGTCAATTTTTTTTTTCTTTTATGATTTTATGAAACGGTTTATTCTTGTGATTATTTTATGATCAGTGATTTATTTCACATCACACAACCAATCTGTATTTTTTTTCAATGTCCAAAGGTCAATTTGTGTTAAGTGACAACATATAAAATATATTTTATCCAAATTTTATATCCAGCAAAGAACTTGGGGTGGCAGATCTCTTGTCCCGTTGTGTATGCGTTGCTGAAAACAAAAGCCAACCAAAACCAAAGGGAAATATTGGGTGCCCTTCGTTCTTTCCTTTTCTCAAATTTTTGGCACTGGTGATGCCTGAATCCTTTATTAGAATGATTGAATACAACTCAACCTTATTTTCACATAAATAAAAGCTTGCACTATAACCTTTCACGTGTTTCAACTACCTTTACTGAAACACTCGCAGATGTGAACAAGGTTGTGGGATCATAGAAATTTCGGTGGTATGGGATTGCACCTTTGAGAATTGTGGCATACACGCTTAACTGTCTAGGCTCTCCTTAGTATGAACTTGGACATAACTTTCTAGAGGCGGGCGCATAATATAATCATGGTAAATCCCACCCTTTATTATTATTTTGTGTAAATTAACATCTGAACACATCAGCATAATCTATACACCATTTTAAAAACAAATTCTATACTTCTTTTAATTTTCAGCCTTGAGCTTAAAATAGCACATGGTAAAAAGTGATATGGGTACCAAAATGGTATACAACATGAATAAATATGCACGCGCCTCATTTCTTTTTTATCAAAATCTCCTCTAGACAAGCGTTTAGATAGACACAACAAAAAAATCAGTGAGATACCGTGGTAGTACATGTAGGTGATGCTTTATTTGGACTTATGCTACCCTGCAGAATGATGGATATGCATGAGGCTTACAATCCTTGAAATCTCTTTTTTCCTTATTGGTTAACCCCTGCCCTATCTTTAATTGTTTTCAAGCTTCGTCTGGTGGTCAAAAACTGTGTGTTTTAATAACATCATCTCCGAAGGTGGGGCATAACATGCATAACTGGGTTTTGCCAGAAACATCATCCAATCTCACGCTGCCCATTTCCCCCTCCAGGCTTCTCTTGAAACCCGGGGAAAAAAATGAAAGAAAAAAAATCCATGAAGAGGGTGCGGAACTTAATTGGAGAGAGAGAGAGAGAGAGAGATGGAGAAAGATACAAGCTGAGAAAATAATTTTCTTAATTAATTGAAATGGATTGGACCGGATCTTACTCGTTTACAAAAACATGAGGGGGCGCATACATGTCATCCCAATTGACTTGTGAACACAAATAAAAAAAACTTGAATCATCAATTCAAACATCATCATCTCCAAAATATTTCAGGTTTCAGCAGAAAAGGGCAGGGCTTCTCCCTCTTGTGTTGTTGTGGATCCGCTCAAATGTTATGGCACCATAATCATTCAGAGTCACTTTCCATGCTTCCCATAGCCTTCAACCCCCTTGGTCTCTGCATCCAAAACCCAATCCATCAGCAATCTATGGCATATGAATAAAGAGAATATATACAAGTTGTAGATCTAGTCACAAAAGCAAAGTACACCACACAACACACCCCACCAACCACGTACCTTCTTGTTACTTTTCTTCTCCCTAACTTCATATCTCTCTTGGCACATATCAGTCAACCACGCTCCAGGACTCACCAACTGTAACCCAACACAAATAAGCGATTAGGTGTGAATCAGAAATATAATAAAGATCCCAACCCAAATTCACCCACCACAATTTTTCTTTTTCCCACTAAACAAAATTAACATAAAAAAAAATTAAAACAGAAAAAAAGAAAATTAACTTACAAGTAAGCTTCTTTGGATTATCTTTGCCCTTTTTTTGGGTCGCTGAGGAAGCTTGCAACCCTTCATAGCAAGAAAGTCTTCTTCTTTCTCCTTGCTAGAGAGAGTGATGTAAAGCTTGGGCCAAACAAGGGCTCTTTCTTCTCCGTTGTTCCCATCGCCGGAGATTTTACCGTTTTCCTCCGCCGACCCCCTTGTTGTGTAGTACCGGTCTTCCTTCTCCGGCGACGACGATTTCCTATTCTCGCCGGCCGACGACCGGAGTATCGCCCCGTCGGAATTCCTGCACCCAACTTCCACATCAAAAATCACAAAAAAAAAATTGACGGAAAAAGGGAAATTTCAAGCATTATCACAGATATAACAGATCTAATGCCTTCCAATTATGAGAAAAAATTAAGAAAATAAAAAACAAGGAAACAGTTCCACCCAGAAGGGTAAGTACATGCTTACGGCACCCCATCTGGGAATGAAAAAAAAAATTGACATTACATCACCAAAAATCATTTTTTTTTCTTCTCAGCCGAAAAAACCAACGGTAAATGGAAAAACAAAAGTGAAAATTTTTCTCCCTTTGCTGCTTTGCTTCTCTTGCTGAGAGAATTTCCCATCAACCAAACAAAGGGAAACCACATCGTCACATTACATAAATCAAAACCCAGTTTTTATTATCTTCTGGGAAACCAAACAAAATGGATTAAAAGGGGGGAAAATCTCTCTTCGATGCTTCTGCTCTCTTCCTCTGAGAGAGATTCTCAACAACCCACCAGAGGAAATAGCATCATTACATTACATAAACCAAAATCACAACTTCTCTAGGAAACCAGCGAGAAAGAGAGAAAGGGGAGAAGAATATGAAGAAAACTCCATGATGATTGTTGTTAGCACCTTGTGAGGCGATTGGGTGGTGGTTGCTGAAGATGAGTGGTTTCTTTCTCTGACACAGCGAGACCAGAACGATGATCCACTGCAGAAGCAAGCTTCCTTCGGATTCCACCGTTAAGTCTCGTTGAAATCCGAGGGTCTTTCACCCTCACACATCGAAGCCTCTTTCTGTTACCCCACTGCAAGAAAAACTCTGGCTCCGAAGCCTTGCATCCTCTCTGGTTCCTCTCCTCTGTCTCCATTTCTACAGACCAAAAATCAACCAAGTTTCAATTTTTCATTCCACAACCAACTCAGAACCACAGATACGGTAATTCCCAGCACTGAGTTGGAGGGGCTAAAAATGAAGGAACAAAGGCCAATTCGGGTTTATGGGTGTGGAGTGTGGTGAACTGTGCAAACATGATTCAGATAAGAGTTGAAAAGAATTGGAATACCAAAGTGTGACGGTTTGCCTCCAAACTCAAGATCTATCCTCCAAAGGAGACAATTCCTTGTAATAAGTATCCTACAACATGAAAGGAAGGGCTCAAAACAAAGAACATACAACAAATCAGTCTCAACAATAAAGTGAAGAAAACTTACAATGATACAAGTTCAGGCTAAGAGAAAAAGGGTATGCGTTTTTTGTTCTTCCCCTGCAAATAAGCAACACCAGCGACCAAAAACAGAAGAGAAATCACAGATCTTCTTCTGTGTTGTTAAATTTGCAAACTTTCTTCTTTTGCAAATTCTTACACCTTACACACACTCTATCTCTCTGGCAGAAGTGGTGTATGCGTATTCTGCATCAGTTTCTCTCTCCCTCTTCTGTGTTTTCTTCTCTCAAACTGGAACAGAGTTTGAGGGGCTATTCTTCTCTTCTCTAACCATCTCTCTTTGGGTTTGTGTATTTATCCTTCATGTGGAGTGATGAGAAAACTAGAGAGAATCAGAGCCGTTGGATTGGGAACGAAAGGGTTTGGTGATTGATCACAGTTTGTGGGTCCCATACCCTCAGACTCTTCTTCCCTTTTTCACTCTTTTCCCAATAATTGACAAACATAAATAAATTAGAATTAAATAATAATATTATGATTTTGTATTGTTTTGTAGGAGTAGCAGATGGACGGGGTTGTTATCAGACCTGACCTGCCCCAGTCAAACGGATTGGGCTTATAATTGGGTTTGGGTTTGGGCTTGGGCTTGGGCTTCTTTCAACAACGTAAGTGGAGCTTAAGTCAAATAAATTTATCGTTTGACCCAAAACGAATAAATTATCTTTTGGGTTTATCTAAACTAAACTTGACTCCTTTTAAAAAGTGGGCCTCCTTTTGTTCTAACCCACAACAAATTACTGATTAAAAAATAGCCTTTTCTTCTATCTAATCTGCACCCGTTAATGAATCGATATTCCCAACCCATGACTTTTAAGCTAATTAATATCAGCCAATATCTATGAAAATATTGAGATAATGTCACATATGAAGAACTTACTACTTTATTAGTCAGCTCACAAAATATTTTGAAAAAAATTAACAAACAATCTTGTATTATTCTAATAATCAGTTTTAAGAATGTCACCTTGCATTAATGCATGTCCTATTCTCCCTATCTTTTTAACAGTCTTTTGAAATTTTAAAGCACTTTCAAGTATAAGGGAAGTGGAGTTCTATCTAGTAGGAACATTTAATTTTACTTTGCAAGTTTTTTTATCTTAAAGTTCTTAATGATACTTTTGAATTTATCAATATAACTAGGAGAAGTACAAACAAATCTAACAACATTTGTAATTTGACTAGTTAAAGCATGTATATCTTGTAATGCATCATTAACAACAATGTTTAATATATAAGCACAACATTTAACATGCAAATAATCATCTTTTAGTAGATGGAATTCGAATCCTCTATTATGTTTTTTTAATATCAACATTATTTAAACTTACATTATCAACAATAATATTAAAAACTTCAGAAATTTGTCATTTCAAAAGACATTGTTCAATCTTTCTTACAATAGTTTCGCCTTATAGTTCTCGATCAATTAAAAAATTCATATTCTTTTTCAATAGAACTTCAATAATCCATAATTTTTTAAGCTTTTTTTCTTAATTAATATACTGATTTCAACGATATATAGTAATGATAATCTTTCTAGAAATATTTAATTTGAGTTACTCAACACTCAATAAATATTTAAACCACTCTCCCTCAACAAATTTAAATGACAATTCATCAACAATAATCATTCTAGCAAGTTCTTAACTACATATCTCAACATCAAAATTAATAGTAGTTGAAGAACAATCAACCCTTTTGCCATCTTCTTTTTTAAATTGTTAAAACTTTTTGTATTGACTTAACAGCTGAATTTTCAAATTACTTGTCCTATTTTTATGTGAATCAACAACATACATGACCTCACATCATTATGCAATGAGTTAGGGATATATTCTTTGAAAAAATGTTCTCATGTCCATAATCTAGATTTAATAAGAATCTTCTTGCTATTTAGATGCTTCTTTAACATTTCCTTTTTTGTCATTTGTAGGAGCTTGAGGTTGTTTGTAATGTTCTGGGGCTCATAGAAGGTTGCACTTCATGTTTTAGGAAAGAAATAAGGAAATGTGAGGTTTTCAAATGAGAAAGTAAGACGTTAAGTTGCTAACGAGTCAGTAGAGGAAGAATAGTAATGAGATTTAAGAAGTTTGGTCTTGATGTGCAGCTGGTTGAGTGTCGCACAGCATCAAGTTTAATTTGGTATTTATTACTCAATTTTGGGTTTTGAGAGAAAATAAAGCATATTAAATAAGTCAAGTAGAGAAAGCACATATATGAGATGAAAAGTGATTGGGCTATAAGTTTGTGTTGTCTACTTGTCTAAAATATCTTTAGAGTGATTATTCTCTTTCTTATATACCTTTTGATTTGTTGATAACCATCAATGTGATGCTATATTATCTTAAAACACTTTTCTTGAAGGTCAACTAACTTTCACTTAGTTGTGACTTGTATTTTTTTTTTTTATTATTTAGCTTGGATTAAAATTTTAAGTTTAAGTATTTACCTCAAGCGTTTTATTATTATTGTCATTATTACTTAGGCTTGTACTCCGTTTTCTTGATTTTTTTAATGTAACAAGTTTATAATTTTTTATTTTGGTTTAACCCTTATTTTTATTTAATTTTGGGTTTTTTTAATTTTTGAATTTAAGCTTTGATATCATATTAAAATTTTGACTATAAGCTCAATTTAAAAGTGAAAAAGAGTAATTGAGGCTTTTTTATTTAATTAATACATATTTAAAAATAAATTCCTAAAATAAGATTTATTCCAAACTATTTCTTTGTCCAGGGCTTTTTTTTTTTGCCAAATCATCACCAATATCGGTCATGCACCGACGATAGCATTTTTTTAATATTTTATTAGTTTATCGGCTACTTACGTCCAATACTATTCCAAAATGTGACACGTGAAATTTTTTAAATGCCAGAAAAAATTGAAAAAAATAAAAATATTAAATATCAGAGGAGTTGGACGAGTCAGAACACGTGTCAACATAGTAGGAGTATCGACTAAGGAGAGACGATAGACATTCAAAATGGATGGTCAGGGATGAACTGTGCCACGTGTCGAGATCGTACGTGTATCGACTCTGACACATCGACTAGCCTATCGTCGCTTGTTGGGCGATACTAGTTGGAATAATGACACGTGGAATATTGGAATCGATGTTGCCCAGGCTTCTTCTTCTCTTCCCGCTCCATCATAATCTCCATTAACGTCGGCCTCCAAGGTTTTTCTATGTGAGTTTGTAAAATTCCTGTGTAAAAATTTCATTTCGTTTGCATTATTCTCTGAAATATTGGAAGGTAAAAATTATTTTGTTAAATTGGTGATATTTTATTGAGTTCCATTTAAAAAATAATAATCGATTTCAATCTGTAATTTAGGATCTGCGGTGGTGAACTAGAATAGTCGTTGTTGCCGGCATTCAAGGTTAGAATTCTATATCAAATGCAGTTTGATGTTTTTTTTTTAATTTTTTATCAGTTTTTAGTAATTACATATATGAAATGAAAAATCTGAATGTTTGTATATGTAAAAACTGTACATTTGACTGGAACTGGGAAAAATAATTTTTCTTATTGTTTATTGTAATTTTTTTTCCAAATTTGTTTCTAAACTGTGATTTATAGATATATATTAATTTGTTGAGTGTAATTGATATATTTATTAATTTGTGATGAATAAATTATATATATAGAAATTGATTGATATAAAAAAAATAGATATATAAGTAGTGCTATTTTGTTATTAGTTGATATATGTAATATTATGTTTATGGAAAAAAAATTACAAACGTTATGATAGATAAAATATATAATTTTAGTTAAATCATAAAATATTAAAATAGAAATACATAATTAGAAATATTTAGAAGATAATAAGATAATTATATTTAGAAATAAATATGTATTACGTAAAAAGTATGAAAAATTAGATTATTAGTGTTGATTAGTAAAAATAAATAATTAAAAAATGATATATTTTAAAAATGATTAAAAAATGGGGATAAATTAAATTAAATATATTAGGTTACAATAAAGTCAAATAAAAAAATGTTTTTGATTTAATATAAATAAAATAGGGGAAGTAAAATAAAAATAAAAATTTAAATAAAGTAATAATTTAGATATTGCATAATTTTTTAAATTGTTGTAGAGTAAAATAGAATATAAAATGAAATTTTAATAAAACTAAAATTAATAACACTATTATTACAATGTATATAATAAGTATACCATGAAAAGTTGTTGTTCAAACTTTGATGCATAATAATTATTTAAAATTTTTTTATTAAAATTTAATATATAGATATATTAAAAATAATGAAATATAAATGGGTGTAAATTAAATTAAATATGTTGGGTTATAATCAAGTCAAATAAAATCTATGTTTTTTATTTAATATAAATAAAATAGCTGAAGTAAAATAAAAAATACAAATTTAAATAAAGTAATAATGTAGGTATTGCATAATTTTTTAAATTGTTATAGAGTAAAATAGAATATAAAAAGAGACTTTAATAAAACTAAAATTAATAACAGTATTTATTCTTATGGTATATAATAAGTATACCATGAAAAGTTTTTGTTAAAACTTTGATGCATAAATATTATTTTGAAATTTTTCATTAAAATTTAATATATAGCTATATGATAGAAATTTGTATTGATATTTTATTTGAGACATAAAAATACATAAAATAGGTGTGTTGCAACTGTTATATTGTTATTAATTTTTATAATAACATATGGTTATATAATTGGCATTATATATTTTTATATTTTATATTTTATTAAATTTAATTTAAAAATTGTATTATTAGTAGTTTAATAAATTGTATAAATGTATAATTATTTTTAATGTGTTTATAATGACATAATAATGGTAATGTATATTTTTAAATTTTTAGATAGCTTCATCTTCATCTGAAGGTATGATAATTAATCCTGAGCCAGAAGATCCATCTTTGTTGCGTTTTCAAAGTATACATGTCTCTGAACACATTTAGGATGGGCGAGAGCATCCAATGTTGAAGGTTAGGAAGTGTCAGTTCATACCAACTGGCATAGACGGTGTTCCAGCAGAGATTTTACCTCATTTGGAGATGGTTGGCTTTGCTGGAATTGCTCAGCTTGTTAACTTTTCATTGGATAGACATTTGATCATTGCATTAGTTGAAAGATGGAGGCCTGAAACTCATACATTTCACATGCCACCAGGAGAGTGCACAATAATGCTTGAAGATATAGCCATCCAGACAAGTCTTCGGGTTAATGGGCTTCAGGTTAATGGACTTCCAGTTTTTATAGCTACTG